GGAGATTACCGGAGAATCTGTTGAAGCTAAGGTCAAGCCTGGTCAAATGAGAGAGAAAATGGAGAGTATTAGGGAGAATACCAGTGAGTAAATTACCAGAAAGGTCAAGCTCTTGAAGAGATTTAAGGGATGAGAATGAGGAAGGAAGAGGGCCAGAAAAGGAATTTGATCTAAGAGTGAGTTGTTGGAGGAGAGAGAGAGAGGAGATAGAGGGTGGGATTGAGCCATGGAATGAGTTTTGACCGAGGTCAAGGATGATGAGTTGGGTGAGTTGAGAAATGAGGGGGGTGAGAGTGCCGGAGTACCCGGCTGAGTCGAGTGTGATTGAGGTGAGTCGGCTGGATGAGCAGGAGAGTCCACAAATGAAGTGGGTTGTAATTGGTTTGGAGCATGGGTCGGATGAGAAGTCCCAGCTTGAGAGGCAGGAGGAGGGAGGGATTGATGAGGGGGTGATGGAGGATTTAAATGATTTTAAAGCGGCGATATCGGCGGGGGCGGTGGTGGAGAGGGTAAATGGGAGGTGGAGGGATAGGAATAGGAGGGAGAGGAGGTGGTAGAGGTGGTGGTGGTGTTTAAGCATGATGAGGGAGTTTTGGAGGGGTTTTTGTTTTTGGTGGAAGAAATGAAATGTAATGTGGTATGGTGTATAAATTAATGGGGTTGAATTTCACTTATATAGGAGCATTTCTCTTCTTTCAATTCTTGTCGTATCTTCAAGTAACAAGGTACGGTACTCTTAAGTGTCCTTGTTTGTTTAGAAAAAATTTGCATAAATTATCGCTAATTTATAACAAGAAATGAAAATTCAAGTATAATTTTAAAATCATAATGAAGAGATAACTAAAACTAACAAAGAGAAACAAAGAGAGTGTGTTAAAAAAAAAAAAAAAAAAAAAATTCATAGTTTCTTAAATAAGGGTCTGTTTTATTCAGATTAATTTCAGTTCAGTTACTAATTTTCTTCTCTCATAAACAATTCATTTCAGCTCTGTTCAGTTTAGTTCAATTATTTTCAGATTATTGGAACATGCCCTAAGTTAGATTACATTCTTAGAGAAAATTGTCATAACTAGCTCATAGTTTTTTTTTTTTTTTTTTTTGAAAAACTAGCTCATAGCTTCCTGTTAATGTTTATCAATAAACAAAATAAAATTTGAAGAAAAAAAATGATTTTTAAAAATATTTCTTGGACCAGGTGGAATGCACTAAAATCTAGGCCAATAATGTGTTATTTGTATATGGTTAAGTGTAATGAGAACCGGAGGTTGGGGCTGCTTGAGGACAGAGTTAGTTGAATATAACAACCAAGTTTTATCCAATTGTTCTTGTGGGTCATGATTCATCATTCATGGCATGATATAAGGTTGGTATTGTGGAGGATGTCTGATTCCTAATCATTTCTTTTATACATGTGTATAAAGTTTTTATGCTGAATTTTACCAATCATCGATTATTACTTAGTTAACTGCACTCATATTCAGGGTAAATTAGATCTCACATTGAAATGATGTTAGGATTATTTATTCAAGTCAAATTGGGCTTAAAACAATCATTTTAAACTTAAGCTATAATACCATTTGAAATTGAAACCAAATTCAAAGTTGTTTGAAGTAGTCTTATTATTCTTACATCCAAATAATAACCAACATGTTTAGTTTTCAACATGTATGGTACTTAGTATGTGTAGGTTGTTAAGTGTTCTTGTTTTAGTTAGTATTAGGTTGTAATTCTGTTTTTCTTTAATAGTATCTTTTGTAAAAAAAAAAAAAAAAAAAAAAAAAAAAAAAAAAAGTAGTAGTTATATATGATCATAACCGTATTAAAATAACGATTTCTTGTATGTAAAGCGTCATGCACTTAGATCATGCTATAGCTAGAGACCAAAGACATCAAAATGAACAAATTATAACCCCTTTTACTAAGGTAAAACCTAACGAACCCCCCCAGACGTTAAATATTAACATTAATTACTTTGTCATGTTTCTCCAAATTAATACTACTTTAGGTGATATTTAAATGTCTATTCAACACTCCGTGGGCGTTCGTTAGCAAGATCCTTTTAACAATATATAAAGAAATCATAATAAAATTAAACAGCCTATATTAGTGTAGTATCCTCTTTAGAAGCTGCATTTTTATAAAATTTTGTTGAAGTTGTTTAAATTGTTGAGGTTGGTAACATTCATATTAAGTTAAGCTAGTTGACAAAAGAATAATCAACTACTCAACTGTATATAGCCATTAGTTAACAAATCCTAAATTGGGCAATTATCCATATAAACAAAGCCAAACTCGTAGAACCATGGGAATCATATCTTTCACAATCATTAAATCAATTTAGTTAACAGCTGTTGGATGACCTGTTGTTGGATATGCACTACTTCGTACTTCATAATTTAATCTTCAAAAACAAGGATTTTCAAACTCAAGTCAAAAAAAGTAACAATGTGTACGTATTGTACGTGTTTTCTGGTCCAAGCAATATAAAAGCATATGATTGTCACTTAAATATGTGCGGCTTATATACTTGTATATTACTGGAGTGAACTTTTGAGAGTAAGACATTTGCTTAGTTGTGGACTGGCTGTGTAGCAATTTAAGTAACCAAGTACTTCTATTATATCATGCACCATATGGATTTAAAAGCTAGTATAACGGAGTGACGGATGATAGAGGACCAGTTAATTTTGATACTCGATGACGCGACATATTAAATGGATATAACAGTTACTTTGTATATAAGATATAATTTATCATGAGATCAAGGTATAGTAGTGATTAATCAATAATAGTAAGATATAAGGGCACATAACTTTTAAACATGTAGTATCGAATTGAATACTATCGATTTATCCACTTACAGGTATTATTTTGAGGCTAGGACTTGTAATTGATGGAGTATTATACAATGGTAGTGTGAGGTTTGAGAGTTGAAGTACATAGGTAAAATAGAACTATAGAATGATTTGGGCGATACGAAGTACATAATAAGCAAAAAAAAGAATCGAGAGTTGAAGAACATAAAGAACCTCGGCCAAACTGGCTAAAGTTGGACCCTGGAGTATATTGCTTAGGCCAACATGCATTATTTGGGCCTGAACATATAGTTCAACACTCATAAAAGCCTTTTTTTTTTTTTTTTTGGTAAAGAAAACAATCATGAATTATTAGTGTGTAAATTTGGAAAATTATTCAATGTTTAGGATTGTTTTTTTATTTTATTTTTACAAGGTAATATAAAGAACTTTACTAAATCGACATCTCAGTTCCGCAGGTCAAACGCTTGAGAGTAGAGGGGAGAGGTATGGGAATCCCCTTATTTCAATGGTGTTTTTTAAGGACTTGATTGCAAATATGAAAAATAATAAAAGTGTTGCTAACCATTGGAGCACTATTAAAATACCTGCTCTCTTGAGTAGTACTGTTGAGTTAAGCTACACTGCTTGAAAATATTAAACATTTATAAATTAAATTAAAAATATCATTTTTTATCTTTTGCTACAAAAATAAATATTAAGATATTATTTTCATTATTATCAACTGACATATAGATAAGTGATATTGAACCTTTTTTTTTTTTGGTGAAAAGTTTTTTTTTTTTTAAAAAAAAAATAGGAGTTACAAGACAGTAGGTTTCATGTAACAAATTCACTCGTAATGTAATGATTGTAATCTATATCTTTCACTTTTCATATTTTTTTTAATTTTTTTTTTTTATTTTTACAACCATTGGAGTACTTTGTAGCTTAAAAAGGTTGTAGCTCTAAAAGTTAACATGACAAAGCAAGCTACAAGCCTTTGTAGCTTACCGTTGGAGATATTCCCAAGCAAATGTAGTTGGTGGGGCTCAAATTCGTGATCTCAAGGTCACAAGGTGAGTTCCCCACCCACTCTACCAAGTTTTGTTACATATAGGTAAAATGCAAGCATATGAATATGATTCTAAGTGTTTGTTTGATTGACAAAATTTTTTTTTAAAAAAAAAAAAAAATTAACACCTTTTTATATTGTGATTTACTTCGTAATCCATACTCCGTACTATCTAATTTTTGAAATACATAGTACTTATAACGAAATGTGTTTTAAGAACGAGGGATAACTCAAGTGGTTAAAGCTTCTCTTCCCGTTGACATCATTCATTTATCCATTTTGTACACGTGTTAACTTCTCCTATAAAATATATATATATATATATATATATATATATATATATATATATATATATATATATATATATATATATATATATATATATAACACATGGTTTAATTATTTTAAAAAAAAACATATATTCATTCAAAGAAAATTAAATCATAAATTACAATGTATATTAACGATTAGTGAGTTTCATATAACTAGTTAAGTCTTTAAATAATGGAGTACTCTATAATTTTTAATTCTTATTGAAAATTATTACTCCATATATCTCAATCTTTTTTGTTGTTATTATTTTTTTTTCAATATCTTATGACTCAGATTCACATCGCAAAATTCCAATATGAAAAAACTTGAAGAATTAGTGTATTCGTTCTCTCCGAGCCAATTAGTTTTACCATGTATTAGGTTCTTGGTTACACAAATTATGCAAGGTCACTTGTGACAAAGTTTAATCTCATCTCAAATACTAAAAAGTCTTCATTGTTGGTCAAAAGAATAGACTAATGGACTACTAGTCAATTCTCACGAATATCTTAATTAGTTTTTGATTCTCCATTCAATTTCAAATAAAATCAAATTTTCACCTTATTTATCCTCATTTAACCCAAAAATGAATTTTGATAAGGTTAAATAAGTTTTGATAAAGATAAATTCAAGAAAAATAAGTTTTGATAAATATCGATAAAGGTTAATTCAACTTTAAATTACAACTACTGGTATATTCAGATAAAATTAATATATTTAGATAAGTCACCGAGTACCGTAATTCTGATAAGATTAATGAATTCAGATAAGTCACCGAGTATTGTAATTCACATCAGATTAATAAATTCAGATAAGTCACCGAGTAGGCGAGTATGATACGCAGTATTTAAAACAATAGTTCTCTCCAACTCCAAACAACTTCAACTCCCCTCTTTCAATCTTTCCCACCAACTCTCTCGCCATGAATCATCAACTCCATCTCCTCCTCCTCTTCACCACCGCAACCCTCCTTCTCTCCGCTACCATCTCCGCCGCAACAACCTCCGCATACCCTTCTTCATATGGCGAAGAATCATGCGGATTCTCCGGCGCCGCCGTAACCCCGGAAAGAAGGGAAACATACGGTAACGGACGAATCATCGACATTACCCACCTTATTCACCCAGATATGCCGGCCTTTGAATCTTCCGATGGTGTTGGTCAGTTCATTTGGCTTCTTAAGAGTATGAAAAATGGGTCCATTGCTAATAATTCTGAGATGAAAATCGCCTCTCATACTGGGACCCACGTTGATGCTCCTAGTCATTTCTATGATGATTATTTGGATTCTGGGTTTAATATTGATTCTCTTGACCTTGATGTTCTTAATGGTACGTTTTTGGTTTTTAAATTTCTTTGGTGGGTTAGTGATTATTGTTTTCGAGATATCGTATGACTATTTATTAATGATATTTCTCGTGTTCCCCGTTGATACGGGGATTAAATTTGATGATGGTTTAGTACTTTAGTTGTTTATGATTAGTTGATTTTTGGGTAGTGTTTTATTTAATGATTATGATGGTGATTAATTGGTTGTTGATTTTCTTATTTGTACTGTGTACTGTGTTTTGTTGTTATTACAGGTCCTGCACTATTGGTTGATGTACCAAGAGATAGCAACATAACTGGTACTTTTTTTTAGTTCAGAGTTGTCTTTATTTGCTATTTACTTCAGTACTTTCTAAAGTGTTTGTAATCTTCATTTGGTGTGAATTAAGAAATGATTAATTTGTTTAAAAGGGTGTTACTTGTTACTTTGTTGGGCTGTAAGTTGCATTTTTTGGGATGATTATTGTTAAAGTTCAGTTAATTTATAGTGGGATTTCGGATTGTCAAAAGCAAAGTCAGTTAGTCACTAGGATGAGTATTCCTGCACCCTTGGTTGATTTATCAATACCAAGGGATAACAAAAAGGCATACACGGGTTTAGAGATTGAACTTTGATGTTAGTTGCTCTTTATACTTACAACGTAAGAGCATCTCCAATGGTTCAATTATAAGGACTTGCTTGCAATTTAAATAAAGTTCCTAGCTACATGCTTACCATTGGAGAATAAAAAATTGGGCAACATGCAAGCAATTGTAGCCCAACCAAGCCACATGCTTGATTGAAAAAGAGCACTCATATTGTAACATGTGTATAATTATCTATTATTTTTTAAAATTTTATTTTTTGCAAACTACAATATGTTATGGCTTACCATTGGAACAATTTGTTGCTTAAAAAGTGTTGTAGCTTAGAAATTGATGTGGAAAAGCAAACTACAAAGCATTGTAGCCTGCCATTGGAGATGCTCTAAAAATCATAGCATTATATCAATTTTTTAAAAGAGATTAGCTGATAAAGTTATATTCTAATGGATGTGCGTGCATTATATGTAAGTATTATGAAAAAGAGGGGTTAAGTAATGATAATTGTAACTTCTGTCTGTAAGCTGTTTACTGCGCAGTACATGTAGAGATGTCAAGTCTTTAAAATCTTAAATCATTTTCTGAAAATAATTTCTGTTATTCTTTTATTCGAAAAATGTGTAATCATAATCTTGTTAATATTTTTGTAAAGAAGTATTTATTTAGTCTTGGAACTAAAGAGGATGATGTCAAAAATAGTTTAGGCATGAAATTATTTCATTAGAAGTTGACATGTTACCCTTTGATGTCAGCATGGCTTAGTCTTACATCACTTTTGATCAGTGCTTATTGACTAGAACAACTACTACATACTCTGCATAGTTTTACAGCGTCCTGTATCATGTTTGTTTCCTTTGAGAATTCCTGAAACCATGGACTTGCTGTAGCATTTGAAATGATGTATTGCATATTCTGTTATTAGGAAGCCTAATCAAGCTAGGGCTTCTTTTCCAATTGCTGAAATGGATTAATAGACTGATGGGATTGTGAACATTTTTTGTTACAGCAAGTGTGATGAAATCTCTACACATCCCTAGAGGAGTACGTCGGGTTCTTTTCAGAACTTTAAACACAGACAGGTAAAATTGATACCTGCTGTTTCTTTCTGCTGGCATATGTGATCGCCTTTTTCTTTTGAACATATTAAATTATTAGGCATTCTTTCCATAGCCATTTCTCATAGTTATAGGAACATGTAACAAGAATGGAATATTGGGTGTTTATTATAGGGATAGCTGACTTTTCATTGCCTTTTGGTGTGCGCAATAAAGATATGCCAGAGATAACTTTATGATCAGATTGCATCCTACATTTTGCTTGCAAACTGTATTGCTGTGGGCTGCATAATTGCGTAGGAATTTCCTGGCATTTTGTCATGTGGAGGTCTTTCTATTGGAGATATCATCTAAGCATCTAACTAACCTCCCAAATCTTATCAATTTTCATTGCAATCACTTCGCACATTATTTCTTCAGAAGACCATTCCCTTTAGTTATATTGCAATTATGAAGCATCACAACTCGCCTTGCCAGTTTGTTTTTTTGGCATGTGATGTGGAGTCTTGGTTGCTTCCGTGCATAAGTTTGTTATAAGGACTGTATTATAAGCTATCACAACTGAAATGGGTTGATATATTTATTGCCCTTGGTGAAGCCTATGGACTGATGGAAACCTAGGTGGGAGCCACTTCATTAAGTTTTATGAGCTGGGTTATTGGTGCATGTTGTTGCTTTGTATCAGCCACTTCACACACCTCATAAAGGGTAATATACTGTGTTTTTGCTATCTTTTAGTTCATAAGTTTTGCTGGAGTCATGTCAAAAGCATTGTTGCTATTGTGGCATATCTTCTTGCTTGATAATTAGGATTCCGAGTAGATGATAAATATTGTCACTTAACTGATTATGTTATCCACCCTCCCCTCTCCCCTCTGGCCCCTTCCTTGTCTGGTCAAAAAGCGAAGAAAAAAAAAATCTTGGGGGAAAGAAGCTCTGAAATCATTGCATGTTTTTGGGTTTGTCTTAGTCAAGCTTGTAGTGCCTGGCTCGAGTGTTATTAGGCTGCTTCATTTCTTTCTGCTTTAAGCACAGTGCATTAGCAGCTAGACAGGCAAGTAGGTGGGCTAACTGTCCAACTGGGAATACACTTTTATTAGTCTAGCAGACTTATAACTTGGTACCTAATAAACTTCATAGAAAATATGGGTGGTAGCGTAGATTATTGTACTCTGAATTAAAAGGACAGCTATAGAACTTGTTGAAAACTTTTAGTCTTGTTAAATTTAACTGATCGTGAATCCTGTAGAAATTGTGAATCAAAGATTGCATTCCCAGTCAAGTGATAGTTTTCTGGGTGAAAACTTCTCATGTATTCACAATGTTATTGATCTCTCACTCTCTCTCTCTCCAAATTACTGAAGCTAGGATCTAATGATCTCCGTGATAATTTTAGCTGGAAATTTTCTCTTTTTTGTCTTCTGTTGATGCTTTGTCCCAAGGACTCAAGGTTATTATTTATAATGAAATTTATAATTCTTCTCATTCTAGGCGCCTTATGTTCAAAAAGGAGTTTGATTCTAGCTATGTGGGTTTCATGGAGGATGGTGCTCAATGGTTGAAAGATAATACAGACATCAAACTTGTTGGTGAGTTTTTTACTGTATGATTTTACCACCCCTTCAGTCCTTATACTTACTCCTAATCACTTATCAGTCAAAGTATTATCTCTGTTAAAATATTTTGTCAAGTCATGTCTTGTTTTCCTTACAATGCTATTTGATTATGTAGTTTATCTTGCGCTTGAGGCAAGCTGAATCAACAAATAAGGCCATATGGCCCATATCATTTAAAATCGTGATAATTTGTTCTAGTTGCATATAATTTTGGCTTTTGAGACCTCAGCAATGGCCTGATAGATATTAGATGGTGATGGTAATTTGAGATGCTTATAAAAAAAACATTACTGAAAATTTAACTGTGTAGGAAAGTTAAAATTCTCTTCTTAAGATGGAACTAATAATCCTGTTGGCATTGTAGGTATCGACTATCTATCTGCTGCTGCGTATGATGACTTGGCTCCTTCTCATCTTGTTTTCCTTGAAAGCAAGGTAAGAGCCTACTTCAATATTTTTTTTTAGTTGGTTACATACTTGCATTAAGTTAAACTTCTTATTATAGCTTCGAGGGTGGAAAATTGTAATATTTGTGATAAGGACTTGAGGAGGAAAGCGGTGTTATTCCTTTTATAACTCTGGAGAGGAAAGGCAAGATCTAGTGCGGTGTCACACAAGGGAATTGTTATTTTGGATAAACAAAGGAAGTATAAGATTGTGAATTCCCAAGCTCCTCAAAATAATTGCTACTTTATACTGATAATTCAACTAAACTTGTGACTGGATATAATATAGAAATCAGTCAAGCTGGCATGATCTCGTGTCTAATTGAGAAATAAATTTTCAGCCTATATTTTTATAGAAGGATAAATTCTTGCCACTAATATGGCTTGGTATTAATAGATGTTCAACCATCTTCCCAAATTCCTACAATAGCATTCTCATATGCTGCAGCATGCAATTAAATTCTCTTCTATTGATCCGAAACAGGAAAATTTGTATTGTTTATGAGTTCCTTGTCACTGTGCTTTTTACCTTTAAGTACATATCCCTTCTCTTTTTTAACTCTATAGTAAGTAGGAATAACACTGATCATTTTGTCATGCTGCAGGAAATTATTCTAGTCGAAGCTCTAAAGCTGGATAATGTCCCCGCAGGAATGTATAATGTGCATTGCTTGCCTCCACGGCTGTCTGTTGCTGAGGGGGCACCTATAAGATGCATTCTAATAAAGTGATACTTCCACCGTAAGTGAATTTCTCTGCATTGGATTTGCTGGAGCTCCTATTATTGTTTTGATGCCCCCTTCACCTTATTTATATGCACATGTTTTTGTTCAGGTGAATCTCCAACTTGACAGAGCGTTTCTGATATGTGGATTCAGGGATGGGTTCTGGAAGTGGAATGTGGTAAGGCTGGTAACTGATGGTTGCAAGAGATTGAAGAGATTATATATGTTGTGCCACGTTACGTTGCAGTAGATATTGTGTCATAACATATTAATGTAAATTGCTTATATATTTAGCCAGGTTTCGACCAACACCCAAAATGGCAGACTTGCTGTGATGAACACAAAACAGGGTCTTGTATTGTTTCTACATAAAGCCATCTGCTGGCTAACTTCTTTGGATGCAAATTGGATTAGTTTGATCTTTATTTTAATCTATTCCAGAATAGTGGATTCTGAATTTGGAATAAGAAATTAAGAATACAGTTTAAATCACATCGTAATTTGATCAGAAGAGAACAATCTCTGTCTAATATCTTAAATTTTATCGGTTTGCATGTACAGTAATCAGGAATTCAGGATTGTGGAACCTTGTTTTCAACTATACCCTCTCCGTACCTAAATAATCACCTCATTTTACAATTTTACACTCAACTACGGTCAAAGTTTGATTACAACGTTATTTGATCAATTTTTGAAAAAATCAACATGGCTTACCTTTTATCTAAGTGTATTTTGAATTTTTGACGTTTTAGACTTTGGTCCTTTTAATAATAATCAAAAGTTAAAATCTAAAACAGTACTAACTGGTGTGGAGTATCTATTACTCTATACGGAAATTTTTCCTCCTAATTCTTTTTTATACATAATTATTAATTTTCCTCTAAGAGCATTAGTTTTTATCTAATTATTTAATTGTTATGCACATTTTCTACCCACTCTAAATTAATTAATTAACTTCGTCAAAAAAATAAAAAAAAAATAAAAAAATTTTATTATTTATTTACAAGTTAACTATTATTTACATTTATATAGTGACTTCTATATTTCAATTACTTTTCCGTATTAACTTTTAAAAATTCGAGCATGGATCGGGCTTTATCTAGTTGAGTATAACGAGTAATAATTGTGAATGAGGTAGGAAAAAGAGCGGGATGTTTTCATATGAAACAGTGAATCATCAACTTTGACTATTATTGTATTCCACTAGTACAATCATATGGATTTTAGTAGTAGTATTTAACATCCTTATCAATGGTATTTCTGTGTCAAACTCTTACTCACCAACTTCACTAAACTCCAACATGAATTCCAACCACCACCTTCTCTTCCTCCTCATCCTTTCCACCACCGCATACGGCGGAGAATCATGCAATCTTATCCACCAGAGCGTAGAGACTTTCGGGGAAGGCGGCCGGATCATCGACATCACCCACCGCATCACCCCTAACATGCCGGACTTTATCCGTATGCCTGATAGTTTGGGGCAGTTTATATGGTTTGTTAAGACCATGAGAAATGGTTCCATAGCCAACTTCTCTAAGATGAAATTTCACACTCATACTGGTACTCATGTTGATGCTCCTAGCCACTTCTTTGATCACTATCTCGAGGCTGGTTTTAATGTTGATACTCTTGATCTTGATGTCCTTAATGGTAATACAAATAAATTATGTTTTTTTTGGAAATTAATTATTTGTTGGATCAATGATTTTAGTTCTGTGTTATATAATGGGTGTTTGTGGTTGACTTAATTCTAGCTTATCAGATAAAGTGGCTTATTTGGTTATAAAGTCGTAGAATCGTAGTGGTTGTACTCAAGACTTGAGATTTAGTCGGGCTACATCATTGTCTTTTATGGCTCTAATACACGAAATAGAGTTAAGTGGGTCTTGTTAGTACTCAAGACTTGGCTTTTATTTGATTTTTGGATATTTGGCTAATGATTAGATATTGTTGATCATTTAATTGCTTATTGCTGTTGCTTGTTGATTACACAAAATAAGTGTTTATGGGTACTTGCTGTTATGTTTAGCTAGATGATGGTGATGCTTGTTATTATTTGGTAAAATTTTGGTTTTATTGAATTGATAGTACTTGGCTTTTGTTTGATTTTTGAATATTTGGCTAATGATTAGATATTGTTCAACATTTAATTGCTTATTGCTGTTGTTTGTTGTTGATTACAGGTCCTGCCCTTTTGGTTGATGTACCAAGGGATAGCAACATAACTGGTACCCTTACTAAATTCTGTTTGTTCACCTTCTGTTTTGTGCATTTAAAAGTGTGTGTAGAGTTTAATTGAAAAGGTTGACCGAAGAGTTTCCATTTCTCTCATGAGCTAGTTACTTGGCTTAAGAAAAATTTAGAGGAAAAAAGGCTACTAGAATAATGGTTTCACTTGTATCCCTAAAATGCTGTCACAGAATAATAGACTGACAGCACCATGTATACCTTTTTTTCACAGCGGATGTAATGAAGTCACTACACATTCCAAAAGGAGTACGCCGTGTGCTTTTCAGAACTCTAAACACTGACAGGTAAATTTAACATCTGGTGCTGTTCTTGAACATACTTGATCATCCATTTGCTTATTGGCAAGGACCAAGGTACAACTAGCCAGGTCTTGCATGTGGTATCATATTTGCTTCCCTGCACAAGATTGCTAGAAGAGTGTACCGAAGCTTGAACCAATCTGCATTGACATATTCTGCACCTTTTTCTTCAATCATTTATCCAAAGGTGCAACAATTCTAAAAATGTAATTTTGTCATGCTAGGGGCCTCATGTTCAATAAGGAGTTTGATACTAGCTATGTGGGTTTCATGAATGATGGGGCAAAATGGTTGGTGGATAATACAGACATCAAGCTTGTTGGTAAGTTTTTTCACAAGGATTTCACATCCCTTCAGTCTGCAGATAATTTGCTTCACCTGTCAGTCAAATAATGTCATAGTAGATTATTTGTTGCTGTCATCCTTTGAAGAGGTTTATAAATGAACAATGCTGAAATCTGTGATATTATAAGACAGTTTACTTGCAGTTTACTTGTATCACATCAATGTTGTAGGAGTTGATTACTTATCTGCTGCTGCATACGATCACCTGGCTTCTTCTCATCTTGTTTTCCTCGCAAGCAGGGTAAGAACTTTGCTCAAATTGATCCTCATTGGTTATATCAGCTAACATTGATTAGAAATTTTGAGTACAACAGTCTAACTTATGTGAACTGAAAGTTATCCTTGGGGGCAAGACGGAGCTTCTGAAAAACAACATACCAAACAATTGGTAGGGGCTTTGCAGAGCTTCTGAAAACACAACTTTTTATTCAGATGACTCAACCTGACTTTTTATTGGGTTTATTTGGTTCCATACTAGGTTCAGTAAAGCAATATATGGCCTGACCTTCGTTAGGGGGGCAAATACCTTGAGTTTGATTTCGTGTATGTAACCAATGGCCATTGTGTAGCCATAGAAGTTGATTTTTCCCACTGTGATTGAAAGGGTATTATAGGTGTGAAACTGTGATTGTGAATGTAACTTTTGAAATTTGGCTCTGGCAATTTAGGGTGTCATGTCATCTGAATCACAACAGTTTTAGCGTGACAGTAGTACTAATCCTATTGTTATGCTGCAGGAAATTATACTCGTAGAAGCTCTAAAACTGGACGGTGTCCCTGCAGGAACATACAATGTTCATTGCTTGCCCCTTAGGATGCTTGGTGCTGAGGGATCACCTATAAGATGCATTCTCATAAAATGAAACTCTGAATGTAAGTTAATTTCGTTCCATTTAGATCAAAGTCTAATTGGGATGTACTTTGTTTTTAGCAAATTATCATGACCAAAATTAAACTTCAATAGTTGATTGATCTTATTCCAATTTGTTCTTAGCACAGCTGAAAAACCTTTATTCGGAGAATAGTTGTAAACTTTCACATGTTTGTACTCTGTGTACTCTATTACCTCGAATTGTGAAGCCTCATTCATTGGCCTGCTCCTAGGTTGAAAATTGTGTTCCTGTAGTGATACATCAGTCCCTGTAATGGTTTAACCTTCTGAAATTTTCTGTCAGTTTATTAATCTATTCTCTATAGTATAGAAAGCCGGTATTATTTAACTTATCCCTCCATTGTTGCTGTAGCATTTTGAATGTTTATTAATTCCACTCTGCTAGAGTTGCCTAATTGTTTCTTGTTTTCCAGTATCATCCTGGTAGGAAGGTAGTCTTTGGTGCAATTAAGGGTTATATTGCAACCAAATAAGAAGCATGCATAATATCTGACAAATGAAACTGTGGTTTCAGGTTCTTTGCAGGAATTATGAGTTTCTGGCTGTGGACTGGGGATACCAATTGACTTCTAGTGATCATACTATGTTGAATACCGATTAACGGAACGCTGGAAGTCCATACCAGTTGTGCTGTGGGCATGTGGTTGCATGATGCTTCTTATTGTAAATAATGTAATCTTGATTTTAGAATGCTCAAACAGCTCATACAAAACTAGCAACTAGAATAAATTTCTCCAAGTCCTGTTTGTTGTACCTTTAACTTTAAGCAGTACTTCTATACTCTGAAAAACCTACAATTCCAATGAGTTACCCAATAATCCATCAAGTAAGAAACAACAATAATATGATCTCTAAAACTGAATCAACTGAATCATAACTCGAGTATGACTTAAACCGAACTTGAACAGAATCGACTTGTACTAAACTTCAATTTACTAACATAGTGTTGTGAGCATGTGATGCAATGTGGAAACTCTGTTTTCTTGTAGTCCATATCAACCAACTTAGCACTGAAGTAACATATGTTCTTTGAATCTGGCCATGTTCATGTAGAGGCAATTCCAATTTAATTTCTGAATTTCTTCCTAAGGTTACTAATCCAAAATTATTCCTAGAACTAAGTGTTTCAAGTGACAATTAATTATCTTGAGTCGATCATACTATGCAACATAATTAATTTGTAAGACAATTATTAATAAATCCCTTTCTAAATTTAGCTTCAATTAAACTCAACCTTACCTCAAAAGGCAAAAACCCAATTGACTAAAAATAAAGTATTTGATTTCTTATTTGATAATTAATCTCTCCAATTTGTTTTGCATTGACCCCTTACTTATTTGATATATATCCATCTTCAATTATAAGCATCATAAGATAAGCTAGCTCTCATTTAATTGTGCCCATTAATCTAGTTGTTGCAGTGTTGCTACATTTGAAAAAAATTAAAATGCCCCTCTTTTCTTTGGATTAGCATTCAATTTTGGAAAATTTTGACCTTTTTTGTCCTGAAATAAAAATTGCCGAGATATTTACCATGGTCCCTAATACCCCCCGGGAGTACAATTAGGTGGGTGGAATGAACCATCCAATTTGCTTTAAAACGGTAAATTTATCCGTTCACAATTTGCACCGATTTCGTGAACTCAAGCCTACCACGGACATTTATGAAACATATAATGGTCATATATGGTTCCAAACGACATTATATGACCATGAGAAGTATCCCCTAGGGTCTTAAGACTATTCGCCAACCGGGCCCCGTGACCTCCGAAATTTCTCAAAAAGTGTGGATAATAATAGCCTTCAATTTTGGAATTTTTTGACCTATTTTAGCCCGGAAATAGAAATTTCCAAGATGTTTACCATGGTCCCTAATACCCTCCGGGTGTCCAATTAGGTGGGTGGAACCATCCAATTTGCTTTAAAACGGCCAATTTACCTATTCACAACATGCACCGATTTAGCGAACTCAAGCCTACCACAGACATTTATGACAACATATAACGGTCATATATGGTTCCAAACGGCATTATATGATCCTGATATGTATCTCCTAGGGCCTCAAGACTTTTCGCCACCGGACCCCGTAACCTCCGAAATTCCTTAAATAGTGTGGATAATAATAGCCTTCAATTTTGGAATTTTTTTTACCTTTTTTCTCTCGGAAATAAAAATTACCGAGAAGTTTACCATGGTCCCTCATACCCTCCGGGAGTACAATTAGGTGAGTGGTACCATTCAATTTGCCTTAAAACAGTCAATTTACCATTCACAACTTGCACCGATTTCGTGAACTCAAGCCTACCACGGACATTTATGACAACATATAATGGTCATATATGGTTCCAAACGGCATTATATGATCCTGAGATGTATCCCCTAAGGCCTCAAGACTTTTCGCCACCGGGCCCCATAACCTCCAAAATTCCTCAAAAAGTGTGGATAATAGCCTTCGATTTTGGAATTTTTTGACCATTTTTCTCCCGGAAATAAAAATTGTTGAGAAGTTTACCATGGTCTCTAATATCCTCCGGTAGTGGGTGGTACCATCCAATTTGCCTTAGAACAACCAATTTACCGTTCACAACTTGCACCGATTTCATGAACTCAAGCTTACCACGGACATTTATGACAACATATAATAGTCATATATGGTTCCAAAAGGCATTATATGACCCTGAGATGTATCCCCTAGGGCCTCAAGACTTTTTGCCACCGGGTCCAGTAACCTCTGAAATTCCTCAAAAACCATGGATAATAGCATTCAATTTTGGAATTTTTTGACCATTTTTCGTCCGGAAATAAAAATTGACGAGATGTTTACCATGGTCCTTCATACCCTCCGGGAGTACAATTAGGTGAGTGGTACCATCCAATTTGCCTTAAAACGGTCAATTTACCCGTTCACAACTTACACCGATTTCGTAAACTCAAGCCTATTACGGATATTTATGACAACATATAATGGTCATATATGGTTCCAAACGGAATTTTATGGCCCCGAGATGTATCCCCTAAGGCATCAAGACTTTTCGCCACCGGGTTTCTTGACCTTCGAAATTCCTCAAAAAGCATGGATAATAGCCTTTAATTTTGGAATTTTTTTACCTTTTTTCTCCCGCAAATAAAAAATTGCCGAGAAGTTTACCATGATCCCTAATACCCTCCGGGAGTCCAATTAGGTGGGTGGAACCATCCAATTTGCTTTAAAACGGTAAATTTACCTATTCACAACTTGCACCGATTTCGGGAAGTCAAGCCTGCCACAGACATTTATGACAACATATAATGGTCATATATGGTTCCAAACGGCATTATATGACCCTGAGATATCATTAAATAAATTGTGAGAGCTTTCACTACATCATTTGTGTAATATAAGTTATAAGCTTGCGAAAAAAAAAGTTGTAAGAGCTCACGGAGTCGAATTCAGGGTGCATAAGAAGTGCATTAAGCATTAAAAAACTTAATGACAAGATTGACAACCAATTCAATGTAAATTAACCTTCTTACGCTCTTAGCTAGCTAGTCTGATATAGCAGAATCAATTAGGCCCTTAACATGTAGACAAGCATAATATGAATTATAATATCTTGGACCGCCATGCATGCATGTGGAAGATAACTTAATAAAGGCATACTCGTATTCATTTAGTTAATTTGTGCTCAACGCATACATTGACCCGTAATCTAAGGGACTACTAATAAATCCTCAACATGCATGGATCGGACTACATACGTACCAAAACATCTATATAAAGGGTTGGTTTCCTTTGGTACTAGATATCAGTCCTCGGCTCAAAACTTGTATACACATTAATTAATAATACAAGTTTATTATCCCTAAGTTCCATAGTTAGTCGAGGGTAAAAAAAAAACACTAGTTTTTGCTTGATTTTTTTTTAGAAATGGCTTTGCCCAAGGTAGTTTATCTTGGGTGTTTTCTTTTGTTGTTGGTTGTTGTGATAGAGGCCGCGACTCCTCCAGGAATTGCCAAAAATCCTTCAAGAGCGTCATGTAAGATAAAAAAGTATAAAATGTGTTATAACTTGGAGCATGTTTGCCCTAAGTTTTGTCCTGATAGTTGCACAGTTGAATGTGCTTCATGTAAGCCCATTTGTGGTCCTGGATCGTCGCCTCCTGATGATGAGTATGTCTCTCCTCCGTCTGATTCAGATGATAAAGGTGGTAAGAAAGACGATGGTGATGATGATAAAGAAGAAGGTGATGATAAAGGTGGTAAGAAAGATGGTGATGATGATGATAAGAAAGGAGGTGATGATGATAAAGGTGGTAAGAAAGATGGTGATAAAGATGATAAAGGTGGTAAGAAAGATGATGATAAAGATGATAAAGGTGGTAAGAAAGATGAAGGAGAAGATGATAAAGGCGGTAAGAAAGATGGAGATGACAAAGATGATAAAGGAGGTAAGAAAGATGATGATGATAAAGGATCACCATCCCCTTCAACTACAACTCCACCAATCTACAATCCTCCTACACCTACAACACCCTCTCCATCTACTCCAACCCCACCATCTTCACCATCCCCATCACCACCTTCGCCAACGCCTTCAAGCCCTACACCATCATCCCCATCCCCATCACCACCCTCTACCCCAACACCTTCACCAAAACCTCCCACACCACCATCTCCTTCTACTACCCCTTCGAAACCATCTTCTCCTCCTAATTCTTCTGGTGTTGCCTCTAGAAAGAAAGTTCGATGCAGGAATAGTTACTATGGACAATGTTATAATCAAGAGCATGTCTGTCCTGCTAATTGCCCTACTTCATGTCAAGTTGATTGTGCCAGTTGCAAACCAGTCTGCAGTAAGACTCTATTATCTCTATCTTTACCTAGAGTATTTTCAACTTAATTAATCATTTTTTTCTTTTTGAACGAGAAATTATCTGTTTCTCATATTGAGAAACGAAATTTGTTTCTCATGTCTCATGGGGGCATTTTCATGAATAAATTACCAACTTTTTCATTATCGTGACCTCCACAGTTGAATAAAGTTATTGATTTATTTACGAAAATATAATGTCATATGAGAAACAAAATTCATTATGAGAGATTGGGGCATCCGCTGTTTGAACGCATGATGAAATACCTTTAAAATGTCAAATTTTATTACAAAATAAAGAGAAAAAATAATTTATTTTTATAGCAAGTAATATTGCTATTTATAACATATACATACACCAAGAACAAATAAATATCATGCTATATGCTCATTTATTATGCTAATTCTAATTTGAGGAGCTTTAATGTAATCATGTTACTCCATATCATCTATAGTATGCCTTTCTAATTCATGTTTGATTGGTTCTACATAGGTTGTGACTATCCGGGAGCAGTATGTCAAGACCCTCGATTCATAGGAGGAGACGGCATTACCTTCTACTTCCATGGTAAAAAAGAACTAGACTTTTGCCTTGTAACCGATCCCGACCTCCACATCAACGCACACTTCATAGGAAAAAGAAACATAAACATGGGCCGTGACTTCACTTGGGTTCAGTCCACCGGAATCCTCTTTGACAACCACCGTCTCTTCTTAGGTGCCAAGAAGACCTCGACATGGGATGATGCCAATGACCGCCTTTCATTAACTTTCGATGGAGAGCCAATCTTCCTAGAGGAAACCCTAGGGTACAAATGGCAATCCACATCTACACCACAAGTAACAATAACAAGGGTTGATAGTGTTACCAACAATGTTGTTATTGAAGTTGAAGGAAAATTCAAGATCACAGCTAAGGTTGTGCCTATTACCGAGCATGAGTCTAGGGTGCACAACTATGGGATAACCAATGAAGATTGCTTCGCGCATCTTGACCTAGGATTTAAGCTCTACTCATTAACCGGTAAAGTTGATGGTGTGTTAGGAAAAACTTATAGGAATGACTATGTTAGTAAGGTGAATGTAGGAGCAACCATGGCAGTTGTGGGAGGCGAAAAGGAGTATGTAACTAGTAGCATTTTCAGTACTGATTGTTTGGCTTCAAGGTTTAATGGTGGCCAAGATGAGGCTTCATTTGAGGCCTTGGAAGTTGCTAGCATGAACTGTGCTAGTGGCACAGGAGCTGGGGTAGTTTGTAAAAGATAATTACACGTCAATATTATATATTCCCATGCTATGCAAGAATATTTGTACTAAAAAAAAGGATTTATTATTAGATACCTAAGATGTTTGTAATAAAAATTATATATGAAGTATATATGAAGTTGTAAGATGATGGTCGACTTACACACATCATCAAAAGAAGATGTTAAAGTGATACAATATAATTATATATATATATACATATATATATATATATATATATATATATATATATGAAAGGTCGGACTAGATCAACCCCTAGCTACCACACTTCACACCACGATATTCCGGATGACTAGGGACTATGAATTTCTTTTGCAAGACAATATCATTCTATGTTTAATCTTATCAAATCTTTGCTTATAAGAACTTAAGATAATAATGTGGCACCTTATAATTCTTAACAGAGGAAGTAATTCAACTCTTACAAAAAAGAAGACATTTTGTTAGATTATGCCTTGAATATGCTTGTACATATGTATATGTATATACACAAGAGTTTGTTTGAGCTTTTTAAATTTTTGTTATGAGAATACTACACTACTATGCGTCACTTTCATATATTTAAACTATCCTATATATTTTTGTAATTTGAATTATTTATCAAGATCTATTAAACTTTTAATCCTCTTATCAATCTATAAAATGACATAATATGTGCATTGTTTTTGGATGTTTTTTGCATCAATTGTTAGTTTGTAACACATTTATTGCAACCATTAACATCAGTACCTTTTCCCAAAATTATACTTGTTGAGGTCTATTACATACAATTCAATTTAGTTGGAAAATCTAATTAACTATTCAATCTGGTGATAATTTATTCGATCTCTTCCAATTCTAAACGTATAATAGCTGTAAAGTTGCTTAAAATGCTTGAAAATTCCGAATGACTATGGATTAGGCATTTCTTACTCTAGACAAAGTACCATTATCTAAATCCTATTATCACAATTCACTCAATTATTTTACATTTTTGCTTCATTTTTGAGTGATTCCAATTTCTTAAATCAAATTATTATAGGATTATACTTATTATACTAACCAAAAGGGTTGATTGTGTGTTAGGAAAAACTTATAGGGATGATTATGTGAGTCGAGTGAAAATGGGAGTAGGCGAGTAGCCATGCCAATTATGGGAGGCGATAGGGAGTATATTACTAGTAGCATTTTCGCGACCGATTGTTTAGCTTCAAGGTTTGATGGTGTCCAAGAGGGAAATTCATTAGAGGCCTTAAACCTTGCTAGCATGGATTGTGGTAGTGGGATGAATGGCGAGGGTGTAGTTTGCAAGAGGTAATAACTTAATATCTTAACGGTCAATCAAGTGAGGAAAATTACTCTAGTTTACTTTTATGTAAACATTGAATTAATTTTGAACTCGTACACAGGATAAAAGATGATCAATGAAAAGCTTGTGTAACAAAATTATCATTATTATAATTACAAATTCACAATGATTTTTGGCTATGATGATCAATGCACATACTTGGATGTGATTTTTTGCAATAACTTCCACATATCTTCGAATCAAGGCTCATTAAAATTAAAAGAATGACATTTATCCAATTATATATAATTTTAGTTGATTTTTTTTCAATTTATTTAAAAACTAAAACACCAAAAGGCTAGCAAAATGCTTGTATCATTTACTAAGCAAGGCCAATGAATTAGGTTAAATATGTTGCACAATACGTACGTATTATAGCCTCACATATTTAGATAAAATGATTTGCATGTTCAATACTCGATGCTTCCCAATTTGAAATGTTGCACAATAAACATATATATTATAGCCTCATAGGTTTAGATAAAATGATTTTTAATACTCGTTCCTTCCCAAAATTGAAATGGAACTACAATTTCCTGTTAATCTTATTCTATGTAAGTAGAACTCACCTCTATCAACTCTTATGCCTATAACAAAAAAGCTTATATATATGGCTAATTGGCTACTAAAATGAGCACAAATCTAGCTAGTCTCATCATTGTATGTGACCAAATATTATTATTTTTTTGTGTTCATTTACAAATATTACGGAGTATATTTTTGTGTGTTCATTTACAAAAAATCCTTGCATTGAGTGTATATACTTTGTTATAATTTTCTTTTAGAGTTAGGATTATTTCTCCTCGTGATAAAGACTTTTAATTACTTAGTACCATTTTTATTTAATATATTTCCTAGTAATAAAATGTATTCTTCCACATTCCCAAATCTCGAGAGAGTGAGGTATAGCTCAAGTGGTTAGAGCTAGGGCTGTGCACAATAGGTTAACCGTACCGTTTAGCCTTAACGGTACGGTTAACCGTTATGTCGGTTACTTAAAATTTTGAACCGTAACCGTACCATTAAGGAACGGTTACAGGTTAACCATTAACCGTTTTATAAATTTTAAACCCTGCATTAGTGCATTACTTCCAATAGTTCCAAACATCCAACTCTAATACAAACTTAAAAATAAAGTAATAAACTATAAAATTCATGTTCTAATTAAGATTACAAATCTACAAACCAAATACATTACAAAGTTTTAATTCGTATTAAGTTTTTTTTTTAAAGCATAATAAGTAATAACTCAAATATTAAGTGATCCTCTTCAAAATAAGACCATGGCAGTAGATTGGCAGCAAGCTTGAAGATCACATTGCATCATCAATCATCCAAAATGGAATTGGATTCATCTATCACAATTGTTGGTTGCTGGACAGTTAAATCCTTCATCCCTATAAAATTATTTTAAAGAACAAAATAGGCTTAGAAGTTAACATCAAATTTATAATTAAAATAATACAACTATACAAACAAATAAATAGTTTGGAAAAAAAAATAGTAAGATAATAGAAGACTTACCTTCCTTGGACTCCGGTGAGTCGGTGAAGGCTCCAGTGAAGGCTCCGGTGATGTTCTAGTAAGTGAGGTGAAGTGAGGGACTGAAAGGAGTGAAGGGTGGAGGCTGAAGAAGTGAATTGGGAAATAAGAGTTTTTTTAGGGTTACATTATATATTTTCCCTATAAAAAAAATTAAAAAAATATATATATATTTATTTATTTTAACGGTTAACCGATGGTTAACCGTTTACAAAAACTTGTAACCGTAACCGTAACCGTTAACCGCTATATTTAGCGGTACGGTTAACTGTAACCGTTTAATTTAAACGGTTCGGTAAATTAACCGTTTAAATGAGCCGGTTACACCGGTTAACGGTTACGGTTTTTTTGGAACACCCCTAATTAGAGCTTCTTTCCCGATTTCAGAAGATTTTGGAATCGATTTTCATCACCCGCATTTGTGATTCTCTAAACACACACACAAAAAAAAAAAAAAAAAAAAAAAAAAAAAAAAAAAAAAAAAAAAAAAAAAAACGGAGTAAAAAAGTAAAAACATTCCCAAATCCCGAACACTCACTCAGGCAAAGGGTTTTAGACTTTTAGGCTTCCCTTTCTCTCTCCCTCACAAAAACCCTGCTATCAAAAACCTCCGAAATCCAAAACCCTAACAACAATGGAGGGAATCTCCTACCAACGCTTCCCCCAAATCAAAATCCGAGAAATGCGAGATGATTTCATGAAATTCGAGCTCAAGAAAACCGATTCAAGCGTCGCCAATGCACTTCGCCGCGTTATGATCGCCGAAGTTCCGACCGTCGCCGTCGATCTCGTCGAAATCGAAGTCAATTCCTCCGTTCTCAACGACGAGTTCATTGCTCACCGCCTCGGCCTCATCCCTCTTGTCAGCGAGCGTGCAATGGCCATGCGCTTCTCCCGCGACTGCGACGCTTGCGACGGTGATGGACAGTGCGAGTATTGCTCAGTGGAGTTTCATCTTCGGGCCAAGTGTATTGGCGATCAAACCCTAGATGTTACTAGCAAGGATTTGCTGAGTTCTGATCACACCGTTACTCCTGTTGATTTCTCTGAGGCTCCTGCTTCTGATGATGCTACTGATAATCGGTATAATTTCGTCAATTTTCATCAATTTTTCATTGTTTTGTTGTTAATTTTTGTTTGATTACTGGTATTTGGTTGAAATAAACGAATTTTCCCTTATATGGGGTCATATATTCTAGAATTGTTAGGGTTTGGGATTTTCTGTGTTTGCATTTTGAGTTCTTCGTTATTCTGAATGCTTGTGATTTGGGATTAGTGAGTAGCTTGGAACCCATGCATATTTTTGGAGTTGGAAAATAGGTTGTTTATGTTATTTCTAGGTTTTTGGTGATTAAAGTTGATTTCTTTGGCCAATTATTAGGGATTTTGGCACAGTGAGGTGTGTATTTGACTGTATGAGCTTTTGAGGTAGTGAGGTCAGTATGATTTATCACTATTATGAGTAAATAGATTGGACTGTGGGATTTGGATTGCTCGTTGAGTTTCCTCTTATTGGATTAAGAACATGTTTTGTGAGGCATTAGGCCAATGAGATAAGTCACAATTGCCAATGAAATGGGCAAGATGTTGTTTGTTCTTATGGGCTAAATTGAATAATAAATGCTGGTTAGAATCTTAGAAGATGTTCAGAAGTTCAGAGGAGTTTATGAGAACTTTGTTCTAATTTACTAGGATATTATCTATTGGTGTTTGATGATTTTATAAGCTTTAAATTGAACAATTACTTTGATGTGAGAGAAGGAAAGAGAGAAAGAGAACTGGTTAAGGCTAGATTTAAAAGCTTTTAATGGATCAACATACTGCACTCATGCAACATGCAACATGCAATGCTGTAATGTAATTGCAAAAGTCATCTAGGATAAGTTAGTTGTGACTTTTGGTTTGGATGCAAATCTGAGATGTTTGTAGCCCTTGCTATTTTACGTTTAAAGGGTCAAGAAAACTATAGATGTTCGGGATCACCCTCAAAAAGAGAAATTTTGAAGAAAGTACTTGGATCCATTTTAGAGAACAATATTGAAGAAGAAAAAAAAAAGAAACAACAACAGCATTGTAGTTAAATGACAAATCATGTTTTTGTTGGTTCGATACGTGGAAATAATTTCGGGATATATTTGAATAGAACCTACATCACATTTGGATCTCGTTGTTAGCAGGGGATGAGGTTTAGAGTTTCATTTTTTAATATTTTAATATGATTGAGAGATTTTAATGTGAATAGGGGCTTATCAATGGGTGTGGTAGGTCTTAATTTTTGAGGAAGAGGTTTTAGAGGTAGAACGGCAGGGGATAGATTTATCAATTATGTGTGTTGGACACTTGGATGTGTAAATCTGTTAGTAGATAAATCATGCTTACACTGGATCTCTTGAGTGTGGTCAGTCATGCTACTGCATTTATAAATCATGCAGTGCGCAAGTTGATTACCAGTGCAAAAAGTGTACATTGAGCTGCAATAACAACTATTTTGAATCCTAGTTTTTCGGATTATGGAACCTAGCTTAACTTGCCGCTAAAGAGTTGAGAAAGATTGAGAAAGTGTTTTGGACTTCTGGGTACTCTCAAAGAAATTTATTTGAAGTGTAAATTGTGTGTATAATGGCAGCGTTGAAACATTACTATCAAATGTAAATGACAACATTACAGCATTGTCCTATGTTCAGTGGTTGATGCAGGATTTCTAACTTGGGGTAACTTGTGTCATTGAATAATAAGAAGAAAAAAAATGGTTAGAATGAGTTATTATATACAGTCTTTATATTTTAAACATTTAATTTGGTATATAAATTTTTGTTTTACAAATATGAAATAATTTTATATTATAGGAGTAGTTATCAATATAATACAATGATCAACTTTTAAAGTACTTTATACGTTCAAAATATTACCTTTTTATGTAATACGTATCATCATTCACAAGTTTAAAAATTAGTACTTTGTATATGGTAATTTGTACTTATATTATAAATTTTCTTTATTACGTTACTCATATATATAAATTTAAATAGGTAAATAAATTACTTACATATATATGTATTGAAATAAGTACGTGCAGTAGAATGGTAAGAATTTCATCAGATAAAGGAGTTTTTAAAAATAATAAGTTGCTCATTCAAGGTTTAAAAAAAATAAATAAATAAAATTGTGATTTATATCATTAAAAGTTGAATACATGATTAATAAAATTATGCACACATAAAGTAGAAGCAAAAGGAAAATAGGAAGGAAAAAAATACTATAAGAAACCTGTTGTGCTGTACAGAACAGGTCTTTTCTACTCCCTCCGTGTTTTTTTAAGTGACACACTTTCCTTAAACGACCGTTTTTTTTTAAGTGACACACTTCCTCTTTTAGAAATTCCTTACATTTTAATAATATATCTTCACCCCACTATTTCTTACTTTATCATTTCTCACTCCTTTCATGGTCCCAACTTCCTCTCACATTCTTTAACTTTTTCATTTCTCACTCCTCCAACCTACCCACTAACATCTTATTTTATTAAAGTCAATAAAATCTCCTAAAACTACGTGTCGGTCAAATTGTGTCACTTAAATAAACACGGAGGGAGTAGTTAAAGAAGCAAAAAAATCAAGAGACCCTAAGAGACCGATTGTGTACACAACGGGTCTTTTTTAGTTTGAAATAAAAAGCACGGGCTTTTGTATGGAGTACAGTCAATTTGCTATTGCTAAATCAAAGAGACTGCCTATTTATAATAACAGGTCTCTTTGATTAACCTTTTTTTTTTTTTTTTTTCCAGGGGTAGCATGTGCTACCCCTTGTGCCTTCCTAGGTCCGCCTCTGCCTATGTTGCTATGTTTGTCTGTATGATGTTCGATAAATCTGTGCATTAGAAAAAATTGTGGGCTATAAGGAATTTGGAACATCAGGTTTTACGGTTTTCATTTTAAAACTACATCAAGTTAGATTATGTCATTGATGATTTGATGGGGATTGGGGGGTTTTTAATTCTTAGCTTAGTTTTAAAAGGCGCAAGCCACCAAGGCGTAAATGGTCCTTGTAGCCTAGGCGCACGTATTTATATATTTATTTCAAATTATTTTTTACTTTGATAGTACTTAATACCAATTAAAAAGATTCATAATAAATTAAATAATTATATATTTAAAGCTAAGGTAGTCTGAATTTGAAAAAATGTCCATCATTCTTCAATTTTTAACTTAACTCTTAGTTATTTTCTTTGAGGCGCAAAGGCGCGCCTTACCAAAGGCACTTTGTGGCACACGAGGCACGCGCCTTTCGTAGGTGACTGAGCCTTGCCAAGCTAAAGCCCATTTCCCAGACTGAGGCGCGCTTTTTAAAACCAAGATTCTCAGTCACCCCTTACCAAACCAGAGACCACTCAAGAATGGATTTTTCTTATTTGAATTAGGTTGTATTCTAGTTCAGATTTTTGCCTTGTATAATTGTACTTTGATGATTTGCAGGTTATTCAATATAAATGACTAGTAGATAGCAGTTTATGTACAGACTAGAGAGTTTGGTATATCATACAGTCATGATTTCATGAATCTACCAATTTAGAATTTACATACATGTTAACATATAATTAAGTATTTGGATATATGAAATGCCACCCAAGGACATGAATAATTCTTGCATTGATTAGAGGTGAAGATAGATAACTGATTTTTCAAGGGTAAATTATGTATTTCCTCTGCAATTAATCGAACATTACTTTGTTTAGACAATGATTCCCTCTCCTCATCACATGGGTCCCTTTTATTTCCCTCTATCTTTCTAATCTCCTAAAATACAGTAAATCCCCTTCACGTTGCAACTAAAAGAATAAGCAATAGTAGATTGATTTCTTTCTATTCTCACAAATGATGCCTTCTCTTATTGCTGTTTTGGTATCTTTGATAAGAGGAGGTTCTCTCTTCAATTTTGCCAAGGCCCTTCCAAAATATAGGTTTCTTCCCCTTGTTCTTTGAGATGCAGTGCTGTGCTTTGATGGTCATGTGTTTTCTTTGGCGCTACTGAACAATATATCTCACATAGTTCGTATATTTAATCTTGCTACTGAGGTTCATTTTGGCTTTTGCGTTATGCAGAGGAATCATAATTGTGAAGTTGCGTAAAGGTCAAGAATTGAAGCTTAGAGCAATAGCTAGAAAAGGCATTGGAAAAGATCATGCCAAATGGTCTCCTGCTGCTACAGTAACCTTTATGTATGAGCCAGAGATTCTTATTAATGAGGATATGATGGAATCCTTGTCACTAGAACAAAAGAAAGAGTGGGTTGAAAGCAGTCCTACTAAAGTCTTTGACATTGATCCTAATACTCAACAGGTTGGTATCTCATTAAATTTACTGGCATGATTGTATCATTTTGCTTCTGTTGAGGTTATGTGATAAGTTGTGTGTTACTATTAAGGCAGATTTGCTGATAAGTTTTATCAGGTCATAAATAGAATTTTAGTTTAGTGAAAAATATGATTTAAGGAATCTATTGGGATGGATGGGGTTATTTCTGAGAGAGCAGCTTTGTCATATGTTGATGAGAATGAAATACCCTCATGACCTCTTTGTGAAATAGAGCATTATAAGATGGAAAAAATTCCAATTTTTTGATGTGTTGCGACATGGTTATAAGTAGGCCTCTTTGTGCAAAGCATGGTTAGTGATAGAATTTTCAACTTTGAATTTCGTTAGCTTGCTTATCAGCTACATGATTATTTATTGGGATTGTTATGGAGATGTTTTCATTCCCTATCTTGGTTTTGCTAGCTTTTTCTATGACTCGCTTAATTTGCCATTTGTACCAAAAGAATTTCATTATGCATAGCTATATCTTTCTCCTCTTGTTCCCTGTTGTATGGAGCCTTTTTCTATACAGGGCTTACTTGTACCATAAACTACAATATTATCTTATTTATATTTCATCACTTCTTTGAAACCCCTTTATCTGTTAATGTATGATCCTGCCATCTCAGCCATATAAGATACATGGCATGGCAAGCTAAATTAAGTATTCTATGGGTCAACAGTGTAAAAGCCTTTTGAATCACTTAATATATTCATGCTGAGTATTTGCTTGGGGAGGTTGATGGTGATTGAAGCTTTAATCTGTGAATATTTATAAGCTAACCTGTCTAATGTCTAAGTTGTTTGTAGAAGTGTAATGTTTGATCTAGTGGCCCACTTGGAACAGGATGTGTTTTGAGGTGTTATCCAACTTTGTTATGACCTTAATAGGCCAACACCCAACAGGTTTAACTTTATAGCTTTGTGGTTGTGTCTATTATTTATACTTAGACTCCATGCATGCATTTCATATTTCAAGATATGAACAATAATGTGGTGCCTATACTGAGCACAATGTATCTTTGTTTTGCCCATCTTACAGGTAGTTGTAGTTGATCCTGAGGCCTATACCTATGATGATGAGGTGATTAAGAAAGCCGAAGCTATGGGAAAGTCCGGGCTTGTAGAGATCTACCCGAAAGAGGACAGTTTTATATTCACAGTTGAGTCTACTGGTGCAGTCAAGGCTCCTCAACTATTACTCAATGCAATTGAAGTCCTAAAACAGAAGCTTGATGCAGTTCGGCTGCCTGAAGACACCGTGGACGCTGATGATTTTGGTGAATTAGGTGCCCACATGCGAGGCGGTTAATTAGCTTGGTACAGTTTGTCTAATTTTATATACTCGTGTATGATTGAGACAATCCTCAACTTGTTCATTACCTACTGGATATTAAACTCGTGTAATGTAATCCTAAACTCAATCCCTAAGACCCTAACTCCCAAGAAGTGGCCTGCTATTTTGTTCTTAATTAACAATCACTGGCATAGACCACTGCTGTATAGACTCTCCTTTGTAATGCATTGTCTGGTTGACCTGTTATTCTTTGTGTGTGCATCTTTTTCTAAATTGTTAACTGATGCAGTTTTATTTGTGCAACTCACAGTGAAAAGCAGAGTCTAAAGCTTTGACAAACTGTAAAATGCCGCGTCATCCTGTTATAGCAACCATATGATAAGGTATTAAGGTGTTCTTGCTTCTTAGTCCCTACTCCCTACTGCACATTCAGTGCCAGTTATTTAATTATGCTCCTAACTACCTTACACTTTTGTTGGTTAATTGTCCCTTAATTCAGTATATTTTGGAATGTCTAGTTTTGTTTGTGTTATGAATTTGAAATGAGTTATTTGTGACAGCTGCTCTAATTGACTCTTCAACATCAGCAATTATACTGCCTGATTTGAGACAAATTATAGTACTGATTTGTCATCTATGTAGTAAGCTAACTCTTGATTTCCTCCAAGCTTTTGAGTTTTGATGATAAAATTTGGTTTTGTAGGACACCCCAAACCCAACTGTTAGTTGTTGAAGCAGTCACGAGATTACTACTATGTTTTAAAAAAAGTTAATACTATCTGTTATATTTGTGGTCCGTTTAATTCCCAGTTTTAGGTGTTATGTTATGTCCTTGTTTTTGACTATGACATCTTATTTTTGGATATCTCATTTACCTTAGCTGTTGTTTGTTTTCCATAGTTGAGCGTCTTGTTAATTTATACTTATCATTGGTACCGCCTTCTTGTGGTGGTTCTAACCCCTTCTAGGCCTGATATGTTTGTGGCATCGGCAACATGTTTGATGATTGAATCGCAACTAATGTTGTTTAGCTTAGAATGGCCAAACAGATTTTTACATTTCTTTTAACTTCTAAGATGTTTGAGATATGAAAGTATTATTTGTGATTTTGTGTTAGCTCTCCAATGAAATGTAGTACTAATGCTACATTGGTAATATATTGTATTAAAGATTGTAACATAGTCCTGCTGTTAACTCTTTAATAGTAATGCTCCTATGATGCAAAATTAATTAAGAACTGGAAAACATGTAGAACGTAGAGATACTATCTTGGCTTGGATAAGTTTAGCCACGCTTTTGGAAGGAAAATGCCGCAATAAATTGCTCATTTGAAGCAATTGAATAAATCAAGATTTACATTTGAAGAAAACCACTCATTTACGCGATTAACTACACCTGATAAACATACACCCGAATGTATTATAGGAACATTAGGAATTGATCAACAAGTCAATAACTTTATTTGTTCTTTTTGAAAGTAATGTATATGATAGTTCATACTTCTATAATAAACCTTGCCTCCATTTTTTTTAGGAAACCTATCTCCATGATTATATCTTGCAAATTAATTTAGAAAAACAAATTCTCAGTATTCTCATGATTATTTATTTACACTCGACCGTAAGCCAAGGCCCTTGTTTTTGACGCTTCTCACATAATCCTGTCATGATTTGCCAATCATCCATCTTTTATCAAAAAATAAATTAAGTCAATTATGAGTTAATTTCTTTCTTTTTTCTTTTTTTTTTTTTTTTTTTTTAAAATAAAAATGGTCCTTTCTGCAATATATATGTAAAATTCAGGATAAAATCTGAGAAAAAAGGGCTGTTGTTTTCTTGGTAAACCCACATCCAAGTGGGAGGTCAGACATTGTGAGATTGTACATTCATTTCTTAGCCAGTCTTTTTTAATTTTAGAGGGTAGGGTGGTTGTAGTTGTGTCCCCAAAAAAAAAATTACACATAAATATAAGGGAATTTTGTGTAGAACTACCCTAAAGATATGGTCATTTGTGAATAACTACCCATTTTTTTTATTTGTTTAGAACTACCCGTAAGTTTGGAGAAGTTTGGGTAGCACTACCCACTAACGTTTTTCGTCCATTAAAACGTTATTTTGGCCCAATTTTTTACTTTTTTCAAATACAATAGTCAATTAATGCTAAAATAAGCAAAAACCCAATTCAATTAAACCCCAAACCTTAGAAATTAAAATCCCCAAATAATACTACACTCATGAACCCTAAAATAAATTATGATTAAACTCTTAATTAGGTTAATTAAGGTAAATTAAAACCTTTATACAAATTGGGAGAGTTAATTGGGTGGCAAAAGTGAAAAAAGTGAGCTCCGATAACGTCTTAATTGGACGAAAAATATTAATGGGTAGTGCTACCCAAATATTTTCAAACTTGTGGGTAGTTCTAAACAAATAAAAAAAATGGGTAGTTTTAAACAAATAAAAAAAAATGGGTAGTTATTCACAAATTACCCTATCTTTAAGGTAGTTCTACACAAAATTTCCTAAATATAATTAATAATTTAAAATTAAATAAAATTTATTTAAAATAACAGTATCTCTGTCTGAAAAACAAACATGCTTACAAAATTGCAGCTTAGTATCACAGATTTGAGACATACTTGTATATAAATGGTGTCCAACAAATTTTCATAGAATTATAAATATTCAATTTTAGCACTTGTCCTTTTCTTTGGCCCTGAATCCCTGATAATAGGGACCTCTTTAGGCTCCCACAGGGGCAAAATTGTAATTAACTATATAATTCCCGAAATTTTTATTTTTGAGTAGTTAAGGAGTTCATGTCTTCCTTCAATGCCCCTATTAATTTGGACTCCTTAACAAATTCACAATTCACTATTTTTTTTCGTATATTTACTCTTTTATAAGATCTTTTTTGGTGAAATATACATAGTATCATTTAATACATGATAGTTTTTATTAATCTTACTATGTGGTATAGGAGTATGTTTTTTCTTGACCATAGAATAACATATACTCCGTACTAAAAATGTTTTTTTTGGAGATTTCCTATGACAGGTTTCAATCTTGATTGTACAACATGTTTTTTTCTGGTTGGAAGTTTACTCAAAACTTTGACGGTTATTTTCTTTCAATATACTCGTATGGCATTGACAATAATGAAGTAAAAATTGTATGAACTTAATAGTAAGTAAATGATTACTTTATATAACAAATTAGATGATAATAATGCACAATATTAATCTTACACGGGTTCATTAAGAATATTCATGTGAAATGTTACGAGAAGTCTGTTTTGGAATTTCATTCTACAGAGAATTCTTGAACATACTTTTCAAAATTGATACATATTAAGGAGTACAAACCTTGTGTTTAGTACATTGTCTCCAATTTGAGTTACTTTTATTTAATGACTTACATTATCTCCAACTAATTCCCTATATGGTCCACAACTCTAAAGTAAAGCTGACTTACAATGCTTATTATGAGACGTTAAATGTAACTTTTAATGTATGAACTTCTAGTAGTAAGAAAATTTGAGAAATAGCTCAAGTGGTTAGAACTCCCCTTTCAGTTTAAGAAAATCCTGGGATCGATCGATTCCCACAAACTATAGTATGATTAGTATCCTTAGTTTTTCGACAATAATTTGCAAGAACATAACTTCTAAAGAGAAGGGTGCTCCTAGTATGATTTTAAATGCTAGGACCAGCATGCTTGCTCCTGTAGACGTCGCGCTGAAGTGTGTAACACAGAATGGCTTAGTTAAAGGACATCAAAAAAAGATAAATAAGCTTGTTTATATCCAAAAATACCAACATCTTCTTGTTTAATTTGTTTGTGAATATCATATCGTATTCAAATTCAATTTTCATTGATAAATACAAATTCTAAAAGTAAGATTGCAGAAGCGCTCCTATAAATGGTTACATGCTTTTTGGCATTACATTAATTTTTTTTCATTCCCTTGATAATTGCATTTTTTTTTATGACCTTGATGAATGATTGTTTAACGTTACATTAGATGGTGACATCTTCGCATTATTCTACAGAATAATACAGATACATTTCGTCTAATAGAACGTACTAGAGCTGTCTATTCGGTAAGTGGGTCGGTTAAGAGCGGGACAGATCAATTCAGATTAATTCCATAACCTATGCGAGTCGGGTTTTGGTTGGATCATGCTTGAGTCGGGTCACGTTAGGTCATATTTCTTATCGGGTTTGGATTGGGTTAATAACGGGTCGGGTTACATTCGAGTCGGGTGAACAATAGGTCGGGTTTAATTCAGGTTTTCACGGGTTAAAACGGGTTACGGTAATTCTCGGGTTCGAGTCGGGTTCGGTTCAAGCCAATAATTTGCGGGTTAGAATCAGGTCGGGTCATTCTCGGGTTTGAGTCGGGTTCGGTTCAAGTCAATAATTTGCGGATTAGAATCAGGTCGGGTCATTCTCGGGTTTAAGTTACGTTCGGTTCAAGTCAATAATTTGCGGATTATAATCAGGTCATGTCATTTTCAAGTCGGGTCATTCTCGGGTTTAAGTCGGGTTCGGTTCAAGTCAATAATTTGCGGATTATAATCAGGTCAGGTCATTTTCAAGTCGGGCCATTCTTGGGTTTAAGTCGGGTTCGGTTCAAGTCAATAATTTGCGGGTTATAATCAGGTTGGGTCATTTCCAAGTCGGGTCATTCTCGGGTTTGAGTTGGTTCGGTTGAAGTCAATAATTTGTGGATTATAATAAGGGCAGGTCATTTTCAAGTCGGGCCATTCTCGGATTCAAGTCAGATTCCGTTCAAGTCAATAATTTGCGGGTTATAATCAGGTTGGGTTATTTCCAAGTCGGGTGATTCTCGGATTTAAGTCGGGTTATGTTCAAGTCAATAATTTGCAGGTTACAATCAGGTCGGGTCATTTCCAAGTCGGGTCATTTCCAAGTCAGGTCATATTCAGGTTCAACTAATTATAAATAGATAATTATTATTTTTATCAAGTTAATTATTTCCTTTGACTATAATATATATGAAAATATACTAGGGAATTATAGTCTATAATTTAGGAAGATAATTATCTCCTTTGACCATACAAAAAAGATATACTATATTTAACTCTTAAATTTGAGGATGATGCTCCTTTCTTTTGCTAGCGTGGACGGACTTGGTCTCCCAAGACAAAATGCTTTGATCAACAATAATAAGGTGGTCTAAATTGCAGTTAAAGTGATTTGAAATCGGGTCAGGAACAATTTGGGTTGAATTTAAGTCAGGTTAATAACAAATCGTGTTAATTTCGAATCATGTTAGTAATAGATCGGATTAAATTTTTAGGTTGGGTAAGTAATAGGTATGGTAAAATTCGGGTAAGGTCAACAACAAGTCGGGTTGAATTTTGGTCAGGTCCATAACAAGTCGGGTTGATTTCGGGTCGGGTTAAAACAGGTTGGGTTAAATTCAAGTCAGGTTAGGAACGGGTCGGGTTAAATTCAGATCAGGTTCATAACAAGTTGAGTTAAATTCGAGTTTTGACGGGTTAAAACGGGTTAGGGTCAAATTCGGTTAAAGTCGGGTTCGGTGCAAGTTAATTGAACTGGCCGTTGTAAACCGGTAAATCGGTGCAAGTTGTAAATCGGTAAATTGGTCGTTTAAAAGAAAATTGAATGGTTCCACTCACCCAATTGGACTCTC